CAGTACAATCAAGCACACAACTCTCGTTTATTTATACATCACAGAAACGTCCTTGGAACAGTTACGAAAACAGCACACTAAAATACACAGCCATGAATTCTCCTGGTGGGAAATGAAATTTCAAGGTCAGCTAACCAGCTCATGCTCGCAAACGTGAAATCCAAAAGAAGGCATTTATCAAGCGAGTTCTGGGGATCTAACATCCCCAACAAATCTTTAGAAATGCTTTATTGTATTTAAAAAAGGAATTAGAAGTCTCTTTTTAAGGTTTAAACGATAATGAGGTTGTTTTGTTGACACCGATCGGCTTTTATATGAAAAAGCTAGAAGTAGCTTAACTGATGAAAGTATTTGAGTAATTTGAAGGTCAGATATTAGTCTTTCATAAAATGTTAATGACCTTACTGAGAAACGTTCTTTTTCATTTATATTTGTCAAGATATATATATTTTTGCCGGTTATTTTGACGATTCCCAATACAATAAGCTCATGCAACATATGCTGGCCAAAAGTATTCCAGCTTAGATAAACCGGACTAGATAGGTTAATAGTGTAAAAGAAAGAATCCTGCGAGGAGCAGGAGTCGTGGACGCGCATTGCTGATGAGTCCCATACCAGGACGAAACGGCCGTCCAGTGCTTCCAGGTTTCTAATGGTGGTCTAACAATGATTGATTGATGATTTCAAATGTGTAAAAACCCAAACCTCCAAAACTCTGCCCCAAAATAAAAGAAAGTATCAACCAAAACCTTTAAATATTTGACCTACAAAAAATTGTAGCTTTTTTCGGATAGAACACTTGGTTGGACAGTTCAGCTGACATGTTTATTTTCTGTTCTCTTACTTAAATGAAAATAAAACATTCTTATAAGTCTAATTATTATTATGGTAAACAGTGCGAAAGTTGGTCACGAGTAGTAGTAGTAGTAGTAGTAGTAGTAGTAGTAGTAGTAGTAGTATTAGTAGTGGTATTATTACTATTATTAGTAATAAACTCTACAAATGAATAATTTCCTTATGATTGTTCAAGGTCAACATAAGGTCATTTAAAACGACTGGGATTCAAGTATACAATGGACAAGAACGATTTAAAAATAAACAACAAATGACAGTTCATAAATTATCATGTGTAAATTAAGTAAAGTTCATCCGGCTGGTGAAACCTATTAATCAATATAATTAAAATCTAACTACCTACATACATCATTGAGTTAGATGAATAAGAATTGTAGTGACAATTTTTCAGAAACACTTGACAAATTCACGTATTGTTTGAAACAGCGGATAAATCGTTATACTATACAAGTTTTAAACCTGGGGGTTGCACTTCTGAACGCTACTTCATATACTTCAGTATTCATAAACTGGTATTACTACCATTAGTTCTTACACTTTAATAAGTTGACTAAAATAGTGTCGAAAACGTTGGGCCTCAATAATACTCCGACGCTTAACGAAAGCTCGTGAAGAGCAGATTCGAGAAAACCACGCTGGTTTCAAACCTGTACGTGGATACATAGACCAAATTTTTACACTAAGTCTGGTCCTAGAACAAAGATACACGTTCAGACGTCCCAAAACAGTAGTATTTCTCGACGTTAAAGTGGCATACGATTCCGTTGATCATGAGGTTCTATGGCAGTGTCTGCCATCGAAAAGTGTACCAAAGAAGTACATTAACCTTTTCCAAGCTCTCTACTCTAACACCACTGATCGAGTTAGAGCTTATTGCGAACTTTCACCGGAATTGATTACTTCAAACGGTGTCCGACAGAGATGCCCACTCTCTCCATTCTTGTTTTACTTTGTTGTAGATATGCTTTTAGACTTAACATTATCATCGCCTGACTCTTCAGGACTGGACCTTCCACCAGGAAACATGCTTCCTAACTTAGAGTATGCTGATGACATAATTCTATATGGTGAAGACGCAGACAAAACGCAGTCTTCTGACCACCCTAAGCAGCAATTCAAGCATGTTCGGGATGCGGTTTCCCCCCTCGAAATGCAAAATGTTGCTTCAAGGTTGTCTTGAATCGACACCTAAACAAGTGATAGGGAGTGAAGTAGTCGAACGTGTAGACCCTTTCACTTATCTCAGGGGTCTGATGAGTGCTGATGGCCTGGTGATTGATAAAATCTCAGCAAGGATACAAAAAGCTCGATTGGCTTTTGCCAACTTGGCAAGATATCCGTTTGCTAATCAAAGGACGGGTGTATTGTGCAGTAGTTCGCTCCGTCCTATTATACGAATGCGAAACATGGCTGGTGAGAGTAGATAACACTCGTAGATTGTTTGTCTTCGAAGCATTGCTCGTATATCCTGGTACAACCGAGTAAGCAATGCTGTTATTAGGAAACGAGTACTAGGTAGGGATGGCAAATCAATAGATGAAGTATTGAGACTTCATCAGTTGAGGTGGTTGGGACATGTGTTACGAATACCCGACCATCGACTACCTCGATGAGCTATGTTTTGTGGTGTAGTCGTGGGTTGGAAGAAAGCTAGGGACGGCCAGACCAAAACATGGTACCAATCCTTGAAGTCACTGACAAGTGGACTGAGTTATGTTTGTAGATGTAAGCTACCTGGTTGGGGTCTGTGTGACGAAAGAAACCGATGGTTAGAGACCTTGAGTAACATGGATCAAGATCGTCTGCAATGGCGCAAGTGCATTCACTCTTTGTATTCTCTTTAATTCTAACCTTCTGAATTCCTCATAATCTCTATCTTTCTCCTTCTAAATTTATCTCACTGAATTATACTTCTCGAATCAAATCTTCGAACTCTAATCTTCTCCATTACTGCTAATACTTCTACTATCGTTATCAATCTTGGATTTAAACATACAGTTGCGTCTCTGTGCTGAGTTGTATGGCAACCTGAACTGATGTACGCACGTACGAATTTGTACGTTGTAACTGACTTTAATAAGTTGCTTCGATAGGTCATACTTATTTGTTATCCATTGATTGCTTATTGCAATCAATGGAAATTGGTTTTGAATACGATTTTCATTGTTCAAATATATAATCTGTCTGCCTCTTGAAAACGATACAATCTATCCTGCCTGATATATATGATTGGAAATATCGAAATACTAGTCAAAAAATTAACCTTGACCCACCAAAATTTTGTCTGATAGTAACATTTCATTAGATCAGATAGTACTGTTGTTAAACTCAATCTAAACATTACGCGTTTCATATGATTTTGTTTGATAGATAAGAAATACTTTAAGATATAATAAGAAGTGGAGTCATTTGGATGTACGTTTTAGAAAAGGTTTTTCCACGGCGACACAAATCAGTAACTAGTTTTACATTGATAATCCCAATAATCTAGAAGTAGATTGAAGCAAACTACAAACAAACATTTTGTGGCAAGTTTTTAGTTTCATAGATTCACCAACTTGAACCTTCCTACTAGAATTAAGATTCAGTTACAAATAAGTTTATTTTTAAACCAGAAATTTATTAACTTATTTCTACCACTAGGAAGCTACACATCTCGGAAAATCCCACCTAAATGTCATACCGTCTTCGCACTGCAGTACAAAGAGTTTTACTATCTGAACCTTATATCTGAGATGTACCGCTCTTCAAGGGACTTATATGGTAGCATGGAATCTCCTTGAATGAGTATACCAGCTATGTGAAGTCAAATGAGACATCGAAATAGATAAACCTGGACTCTGAATCAGGAACAACAACGAGTGTCGAAAACTAGATCGTGAACATCAAAATCACAAGACTGCTATGATATGCACATATTTCAAACGACCGAAGTAACTTCATCATAAATGTTATGGAGCGAAAACTAAGTGTTTTTTAGACACATTAATTTGAGTACGAATATTTCCTAATCACTATTTTTAATATGACATTGAAATTCAAGTAAATCAATTTCGCCTGTCTGAAATACAAAAACACACCTGTTCGCTTATAATTTTTTTTCAATGTTACATCAACAGCTCGTTAATATTTGTACACTGAATTCTTGTTTCAATTTCCAACTTAAAGAATTATCTACCCACTTGTGAATTGATTTTCTCCTTACCAATTAAAAAGCTGTATTATATAACATTGTTAAAATTCCACCTACACGTACATTCATTAATCCTTTGTAAATATCAAAAAACAAACTATTCTATAATTTTATTTTTTCTTCAGTAATATACTTAAGAATTGAGAAATGTTAAAAATTAAACACAGACTAGAATAATTATTGGCTCAGAGTTTCTAGTTGTTGAACTGAGCGAATTCATTTTATTCTCTGCAATATATAGTATAGTTTGTAACGGATTGACCTCAGCTGGGACCACTAGCAAACGCTGTAGATTATTGAACTTTTATGATTAAAATCTATTTTATAGTAACACTATTGTGGTGCGCGCTACTTATAAGTAGTATATGACGTGAGTGTAAACGTAATGTCTGGCAGCAGAAGATTGGGGAAGATCAAGAAGAAAGGAAGAGTGAGAACACAATGGAATTTGTAGGAAACGCATGAATAGTGAGTGAAATGTCAGACAATGGATTGATGATTGATTGAAGATTTGCAAATTAACCGTTTACGATATGGTTTTCCTATTTTACTGAGTAACTCTGTAATTTTTGTTAAATACAATTCGGTTTCCCTCACCTGTGTTCTCCTTTACTACACTATAATCTACTAATTTTAATCAACTTGTACATGTTTAACATTGATAATAGATTTTTTTTTCATCAGAGATTTTAGTAAAAATCCAAATTAAACAACATAGCATTGCATACATAGTTTATTTATTCTACTAAGGTTTCTCTTAATTTCCCATTACTCACACTATTACCAGTGTTCTTCTTGTTCTGTATTCTATTCATCTTTACTGATTTATAATCGCTGTGAAGATAGATTTCAAATATGATGAAAAGAATTAATGCACTTTAGGGTCAGTGTGTTAAGTTTTTCATCTTTCTATAATATGTGAAATTGTAACGAGAAAAAAAATCAATTTGTTCGAAAATATATTTATTTAATAAGTGCTTATTTCTATTCCTGTACACATGAATCTTTCAAAAAATACACAGCCAATTTAGCACACTTTAAATGAATAATTTGTCACCTTGTAGGAATTATTGTGCAAATAAATAGAAATATATTCACAATATCTGATATGTGTGATATGAAGTTTTTACAAAAATTTACATTATATGATTAATCAATTTGATTGGTATCTTTTATAGTTATTTGTGGTAAACCAGAATTCAGTTGTTCTAATAGAATGCATGCCTGACATATGGGTTGACTGGAAATGCATCCACATTTATCACAAGTACCTAGATAGGAAGGAAACGATGAATGGCACCCAATAAATTGACTTGGATGTTGTAAAATAACCGGAAGAGGCAGGCACAATGAGGTACAGTGTATTTATCAGGTAGGCAATAAGCAGAAAAACATCTAACATGAGCTATGAATAGAGTTAACTGTTAGAAGCCAAACGGAACTTTTATACTCGTGTACAAAGATTTGTTCAGAACCAACCCACTCGAAATGACACAAATGAACAGGTTAATATGCTCAAAAGTATTCCGATCCCTAACGTCTAAATACACAGTGATATAGATCAAAACTGAAGTAATATTTCGGATATTAGCGGTGAAAAACACGGGTCAAATATTCTTTTCCATTAGTATTCTCACTTAAACTTAGTTTTAAAATTAAATCAGTTAGTAGAAAAAATGAATGATAAAAATATTAGCATTAGGCTTAAAAAATAAAACGAAATGTAGAATGTTTAACACAAAATTAGCTTAGTACGAATTTTTGAACTAAGAAACGACATAGTAAAATTAAAGAAGACTCTGTTGGTAGTGAAGTTGCGGCAGTGTCTGTCATTGAAAGGTGTACGAAAGAAGTACATTAACCTTGTACAGACTGTCTACTCGAACACTACTGGTCGAGTTATGGCGAACTGTCATCGGAATTCTTTATTTCAAGTGGTGTCCGTCAGGGATGTCCACTCTCTTCCATTCCTGTTTAACTTTGTCATGGATATGTTCTTAGAGATGACACTTTCATCGTCTGACCTTTCAAGAGTTGAACTTTTACCAGGTTATTCGCTTGTTGACTCAAAATATGTCGATGATATAATTCTATTCGATGAAGATGTTGACAGAATGCAGTCTTCTTACTACCCTAAGCAACAATGCAAGCATGTTCGAGATTCGATTCGCCCCGTCGAAATGCAAAATGTTGCTTCGGGATTGGGTTGCATCGGTACCTGATACGGAGTGAAGTAGTTGAGCATATTAACTGCTTTACTTATCTCGGGAGTCGCATCAGTGCTGATGGCCTGGTGAGTGACGAAATCTCATCACGGATACAAAGGGCTCGATTGGCTTTTGCCAACTTGCACTATTGATGACATGGGATGAGTTCACTGTGCAGCAGTTCTTTCCGTTCTACTATACGGGTGTGAAACATGGCCAACAAGAGTAGAGGGGTATTCGTAAATTACTAGTATTCGATCATAGGCGTCTTCTAAGCATTGCTCGTATATTCTGGGACAACCGAGTAAGCAATGCTGGTGTTACGAAACAGGTACTCGGTAAGGAGAGATCAATTGATGAAGTGAAACTTTATCAGGTGAGGTGGCTGGGATATGTTTTACGTATGCACAACCAACGACTAGCTTCGACGAGCTGTGTTTTGTGGTGTAAAGGTAGGCTGAAAGAAAGCTAGAGACGGCCAGACCAAAACATGGCACAAATCCATGAAGTCATTGACAACTAGGCTGAGGCATGTTAATAGTTGAACCACCTGATTGAGGTTTGAAAGACAATCGAAAACGGTGGTTAGAGGCTGAATGATATGACTCAAGATCTTTTCTGATGGAGCAGATGAATCCATTCTGTCGTACCTCAAATTCTAGGCTTTTGGAATCCTTAACTTTCTGGGAAAATTTATTTCACCGATTTATATTTTCGTGGATTGTATCATCGATCTCTAATCTTTCCCATTACCACTAACACTATAACTATCTCAACTATTGGCCTAAAAATCCCATCTCTGTGTGCTAATGGAACACGGTAACTTGAACTGAAGAATGTGCATAGCAAGTGTTACGCCGCAACTAACTGACTGCTTAAAACATTCACAATATTATTCGATAAGTTAGTTCATAATTAAATGTTGCTAATTATGATGATCAGGAAGAACATATGATGGAGAGTGACGAGACTGGCAGTTGTTGTTAAAAATATTACATATGACTAGCTGTCAGGATCAACGTAACAAATTATTTATATCCAATTCGCTATATTTAAAATATAGTTGTGAGAGGTTAATTAAATTTTATCTAGTAATGATTTGTGATCATAGTAGATCTCGTACGTTAAGCAGATCGCTTTTTTCTCTCGTTAAATTTATTTCACTGGATTGTACTCCAAACCCTAATTGTCTGCATTGCTGTTAATACTACTACATCTACCACTATTGTATTTGAATTGGCAATCGCATCTCTGTGCTATGGTATGACAAATTGAACTGATGTACATACGTACGAAGTCCTACGTTGTAGCTGACTCTCACTCTGACCCGTACATTAGATGCCCGCACTGAAGCCCAGATTTAGTATCTAAAACATTGACATATTTTATTTACTTCAAATATATAGTGGATATCGACTCAATTAGGACGTACAATTTTGTTTAGTAAGCTGAGTCACACTTATTGTGCACGGACTAAAAGTACTACAACACTGCAACCAATCGAGCCTAAATCAATGCTGAACTGATGATAAGAAGTTGACACATGTTTGATTGCATACAATAACAGAATGAATACAATGCTTTAATTTCAAAATAATAAAGACATACTTACTTTTTTGAGGCATCTTTACATCACTTCGAATAGCCATGCGTTCACCAGAAGCTATAATATCTGAACCAAAATAAAGTGAATTAGGCCGAAAATTATCCAAAACAAAAAATAACCCACCTATGATAGTTCTAGGTCGTATTCTCTCCAAATCCTTGATAAAGCTTCTTACATGCCCTCTAAATAATGAAAATCCACAATAAAATTCCACTAACTTACCGATAAGCTTGTGGTGCATATTTACACTCAGTTGAAAAATAATCCAACTTATGCATATGCGCATACATAACAATCTCTTTTTCATAAGCATATTTAAACGGTTTAAAACGAGGTAGTATATCATCTGCACCCTAAATATAACTTGAAAACCTATAATTTGTTGCATTACTTACTGTCATTATAGCTGTACATCGTTTTAATCTGCCAATATCACCTCGGAGAACTGTAAGCATTAAAAAAAAAAAGGGAATTGAGAAAATCGTTGCATTTTCATTTTAGAACAAAAAAAAGCCCCATATTTAGTATTTAAAGTCTAAATAAATCAAAACACATCTTTAAATTGAGCAGTTGTAACTTACTATTCATTAACACCGTCTCTGCAATATCATCAGCATTATGACCAGTACATATTTTATTAGCTCCAAGTAGTAGTGCACCTTTATCCAACGCCTGACGACGAAATATTCCACAGTAAGTACCTACCGAGGTTTTTTATTTTCAATAAATAAAAACACTAGTATATCAATTACAATTTCGTTTATTCCCAACTCGTTTTACAATATCATCCATTGACCATCCATACAAATCCTAAAGAAGATTTAGACGTTGAGAGAGAGAGAGAAAATATACCTGATAGGAAAGAATTTTTAATGGAAGTGCATATTGAATTTGATTTCGTTGAACAGTCTGAAAGAGATGATGATTAGTTAAAATTTGAAAATAGACAAACAAATCTTACCATCAATGAATCATCTCTATATCCACTTATACCTTCGTCAATCGATAAAAGAAACAATTCTGCACCATAATCATATCGTTTATTTAACAAGTTTAATATGTAAGCTAATACGGTAGAATCTAAAAGTATTTAGACAAAAAACAAAACACGTACAAAATAAATTAATCAATAAATATTCCTGTTCATTTTCTTTAAAATTATTCAACACCATTTCAATTAATCATAGACTACACTGGTTTTTTTGGTAAATAAATACAATTGCACAACTTGGGATAGATGAAACTGACGTAAAAATAACAAGATTTTTTTTCTACATTACATACGCCTGTTACCCCTAATGGAGCATAGGCCGCCCACCAGTTTTCTCCAACCAACTCTGTCCTGCGCTTCCCTTTCCAGTTCTGTCCAATTTTTGTCCATTATTCTCATATCTGTCTCTATTTCTAATGTGTTCCTTGGCCTTCCTATTTTCCTTTTGCCTTGAGGGTTCCATGTGAGGGCTTGTCTTGTGACGCGGTTAGGTGCTTTTCTTAATGTGTGTCCTATCCACTTCCACCGCTTCTTCTTGATTTCCTCCTCCACTGGAATCTGGTTTGTTCTCTCCCACAGTACGTTGTTGCTGGTAGTGTCTGGCCAACCAGTACGAAGTATTTTGCGTAGACAACCGTTAATAAACACTTGTATCTTCTGGATGATGACTTTGGTAGTTCTGCAAGTTTCCGCTCCATACAGTACAACTGTCTAGACATTTGTATTGAAAATGCTGATTTTGGTTTTGGTTTGAAGTTATTTGGAGTTGCAGATATTTTTCAACTGTAGAAATGCAGCCCTTGCTTTGCCAATCCACGCCCTCACTTCTGCATCGGATCCACATTGATTGTCGATGATGCTGCCCAGATATGTAAAGGTGTTAACAGCCTCCAAGGCATCTCCATCAAGAGTGATTTGATTGGTGCATGTTGTGTTGCATCGGAGAATTTGGCTTTTTCCTTTATGTATTATGTTGAGACCTATTGCTGCTGCAGAGGCTGCTGTTACACTGGTGCCATAAATTACATTATCTTTATTTCTTAACCGATTAAACAAAACAGAATGTATATGATTATGATAGTTACCTTTACCACCGGAGGCACCAATTGCAATTTTATCCCCACGACTAATAAGTTTTGCATGTACAATTGTCCAATGTACTTCTTCTTCAAAACACCAAGAAAAACATTTTTTACACATAATATCACCCTAAATTGTCGTCAGTCGATAAGTTCAAAACTAATTCAAAAGAAACATACAGTTTTTGGACGTTTGATATATCCTTTTGCTTGACATTTGCAACACAAGATTGGCATATTGGTTTCACACTTCCTAAAACAAACAAGAACATTTTGTTTTTTGAATGACGAAAGATGAAAGCAAATAATAAAAGTCTATAATAACAAAGCTATTACTTGTTATGAATAAAATGATCTTCATAATCATGATATGATAAATGAATTATAGTGAATGAATGTAATGGTATCATCACATTCAAATCAATTTATTTTTTATATCATCTAACGTCTTGAAACATTGATTTGAATTATTATGTGAACTGTTAGTTTAATTTAAATATAACCTGTAAATGATTTTGATTTAATTGAAGAACAAATGTAAATACAATTTTTCCACAATGGTTATAAAAAAAAAATGCATTTACTTATAACAAAGTAAAATTTGAAATACAAATTCGAATTATGAAATAGTTCATAGAAAACTTAAGGGTAGTGGAATACATATGTGACAATAACATCAATAAGGTTAATAACCAATGCACAGCTCGGTACAAATGTCTATCAGTTCAAGATGCTATACTACATTAGCACAAAAATATATTACTAATATATTATTACTAACATGCATCATAATAAAAGCCATTTTATTAAAATTGTAAAACACTATGAAAAAAAGTTCAATATTATTCCATACCTTATATTATTGCATTTTACCCTTTCCACTTTATCTACTATATTACTACTATTATTTTGACTACTTTGTTATACAGACAATAAAATTACTAAGAAGAACTTCATAAGTAAGTAAATCAGTTCAGGTTGCCATACGGCATAAACACAGAGACATAACTGTCAGTTTAAATCCTATAGTGGTAGAGATAGTAGAAGTATTAGCGGTAAACAAAAAGATTAGGGTTCGAAAATATAATTCAAGATCCGAGTAGCATCGTCAATTTGATTTCACCTAGTGCACACAGAGAAACAATAAGGTTTACGCCTCGTGTTTAAGGTAGCCCTGATGCTGCTTCCCATCGCCTCGCTGGCATAAGTACAGTTTTAAGTCATAGGGCAAAATGGCTCTCTTAGACTGGATACCGATAGAAAGTCGCTTGTGCGCTTTCCGACTGAACGAGACAGTAAGGACTGGGAAATATAGGGACACGCCGTTGCTCTCTTCGTCGTATCTGTCTACTCTCCCACTGACTGCAGTTCAGACGACATAAAAGATGAGTTTTACGGAAACCTCTTTAAACTTCTTCAAAACGTCAAGCGCTCTGATATAGTAATAATGGCTGGTGACTTCTATGCTTAAGTAGGTAGACTAGGTGAAAAGGAAAGACACCTGGGTGGGTCTTATGGTGTCACGGCCGATCGAACATATAACGGCAACCGTCTGTTGCGACTATGCTCAGATAACCGCCTGTTTCAAGAAAATACTAACTTTAAGAAAAAAGGAAAAACATTTTTGACCTGGCGACCCCCAAAAGGTATACGTTTGCTCCTTAATGGACAAAGGAACAATGTCGCGAGGAAGCATCCTAGGGCTCTACTTAATGATAATAAAGCTAAGAATATATTTCTGGCACAACTAGAAAAACAGTCGGGCAGCCATATAGTAAGTGATTCCCACACTGAAGTAGCTTGGAATGACATCCGAAAAGATGTGGAGACAGTAGTGGTATATGCTAGCAATGTAAACCTACAGGTTAGGGAGACGTGGGTTTCAGTAGCATAATCGAACTGATGGATGTTCGGGAGATCATCCCGCATGGCTCTGAGTACGATGAGGAGCTGAGTCAGCTTAGGCGCAGGCTGATAAAAGGCCTACACAATGATCGCGAACAGTGGTGAGTAGCAAGAGCGATGAAAAAGGCAACGGCGATAGACAACAATAGATAGCTGTTCCGATTTATCATAGGAACCGGTTTTAGGAATCCAACTATAAGTGAGATTATCTCAGAAAAGGATGGTTGTATCATTCATTCTCAATATGGGGGGTTGGATCGATAGGCAGAACACTTCAGGGATCAGTTCAATCGGCCTTCCGCTCCCCACAATCTCCATTCATCCTGAATGGCAAATCAATGTAAGTTGTCCAACTCTTTATGAAGTTGAGAAAGCGTTAGGAAATCTGAAGCGAGGGCGAGCAGCAGGTACTGATAGACTGACCCCTGAGATTTTTAAAGATGCCCATCCCGTTTTAGCAGTTAGATAGGTAGGTAGAATTTTGGGACTGGACACAATCCCATCTGACTGGTCTCAATTTACAAGAAAGGGCAAAACTCTTCTTGTGACAATCACAGGGGAATAAGTCTAACTAATATAGTTTCTAAGTTGTTAACCTCGATTATACTTAGACGTCTAACTGGAACTTTTGAAGAGCATACTAGAGATAATCAGGCTGGTTTTCGACCTGGACGCGGCTGTATAGACCACATCTTCACACTACGTCCGGTCCTAGAACAAAGATACACGTTCAGACGTCCCACAACAGTACTATTTCTCGACCTTAAGGCGGCATTCGATTCTCTTGATTGTGAGGTTGTGTCTGTCATTAAAAGGTGTACCAAAGAAGTACGTTCACCTTATACAGGCTCCCTACTGGAACACCACTGAACTGTAATCAAACATGGTTCAAGATAGAAGCCGGTGATAGCCTTGCTGTAACTTTCTTTTATATAAGTAGAAGGATCGTCCTTATCCGAGAAAATCCTTTTCGTTTTTAATGTACTTACGTAAACCGATTCTCCCATTATTACTTATAGTAATTAATTATTTGATTGTTTCAGTTAGTCACGGTTTTGCTCTTGTGATTTAATTGTTTAAACATATAAATATTGGTAAAATGAGGTTCCTGAGTTTTTGAGCCACAAGTTATCGGATTTGTAAGTGGGCTACCTGGGTTCCCAAACCGAAGCAGGCGGTCTTCCTAGGGGGCTGACCCTCAATCTAAGGAGAACTTAGCAAGTGTGAGAACTATAGAAGCACCAACACTCTGCTCTCGATACCAAGCAAAGTCGTCAACAACGTTGTTCAGCCGAATGAAAGATTCAGTATATACCCAATTTCGAGATTAAAAGACTGGATTCCGTAAGGATCGATCGTGTAACTATTAAATCGTGACACTGCAGATCAGGTTGGAAAAATCAATTGAATGGAATTTATCACTCTACATCAACTTCATTGACTACGAGGAAGCATTCGACAATGCGGACAGGACGACACCATGGAGGCTTTTTCGACGCTGCGGCGTGTCTGAGATAGTCATCATACCGAATTCAGTTTTCAATACAAACGTCATAACCGTTCAACTGTAAGGCGCGGAAACTCGGAGAACCACAAAAGCCATCGTACACAGGATGTGCTTATTAAGACTTTTCTACGCAAAAAACTTTGGATTTGTTAACCAGATAACATCAGCAACAACCCAATTTGGAAAAAAACAAACCATCTTACAATTGAGGAGGAGATTAGGAAGAGCTGGAGGTGGATAGAACACACTGAGGAAATTACCCAAGTGCATCACGAGGCAAGCACTCACAGGGAATCTTCAGGGCGAAAGGCAAAGTAGCAGACCAAAGAATAAATAACGGCAAGTGTCGGGAGCAAACATCAAAAGAATGAACAGCAATTGGATAGAACAGGAATGGAAGGCCAAAGACATCGTACTGGTTGGCGAGTTGTGCTTTATGAAGGGTAACAGGCGTAAGTAAGCAAGCAGCTAAGTAGGCGACATCGCATATTTATGTTCTCTTAGGCAAGGAGAACTCATCATATCTTAGACCACAGCAAGCGGGTTCAGTAACTTCGATCTAAAAACTCTGAATGAGATTGTTCTTCTTTTCGAATGTTCGACAGTTAAAAAGCCTTGCCCGAGCAATTGGTATCAACCTAATCAGTTAATACCCTCAGAGACAAACTGGATCTTCACCATGAAACAAGCTGAAGGGATCGATATAGGGCAGGCAACCTGTCCTCATTACTGAAGATAATCCGGTTAAATTTAAGATCCCAATCTCACGGCTGGAGAAATTCTGGGGTTTTCTGGCTAACCCCAGATTTATGTGAGTTTTTCTGCAAATTCTGGGTTTCGATCTAACATTGCTATTGGTTTTTTCTCAGAATACTTGATAAGTTTCCACAGTCGGGAGATTGTAATAATAAGGACCCGTTATGAGCAGAATTAGAGTCTACATACAGACTACTACAGTGATTGGAATACATACTTTATAACTCAGAATCTATTAAGAGGGAAAAACGACAACAAAATGAGACAAACCATACCGCCTTGAGGGGGTTATTCTCAAATTACGCGCGGACAACCGTTAAATTTTCAAGCCTAAAAATGTCGTAAATCGAAATTACATGAAGAAAGATAGACTGTTAATTCTTACACTTGAAGAACTGGGAACAGTTAGACGTAAACACATCAAACGGCCCTCCTTTTATCCGTTTTCTTAACAACAACTGCTGATAAGATGAATCCAACAAAGACTAAAAATAGATTCTTGTGGGTAAAATGACGGATAGATAGATAAGTAAATGAATAAGACATCATTGACTATTGTGTTAGGATGGAACCTGATACATTTGTAGCCGTATACTTTTACGAAGATAACGCAGTTGGTGAAATATAAACATTTATTATTGTACCTAATTCTGACAACAATTGTTTGATTGTATTCCTTTTGTTTACCTGTACCAAAAACTATCTCTCGCGCACCAAGCGTTTTATTCCCATTTCGCTCCTCTCCATGCTTGTTGTTAGCCTTTCCTGTACTCTATACCATTTCGATATCAAGAGGCTAGCGATAAATATACTTCTTCATCCAGAATAATCTTCTTTGACTTCTGGATTATCAGGCTTTATCCTAGTAATCCCGCGAAGAAATATATTTATTTTAACTCTCTATACATTTAATGAAGTCCAATACAAACGATTTTGATACCAGGAAGCTACTTATGAGTCATGATATTAGATAAAAGCAATTATTTATGAATCTACCATTAGACGTAAGAGAGTCTAACATCACAAAAGGAGGGAGGGTGATTTATCTGACCAGAATTCATGACAGTGGCGTGATAACCTCAATCTACTCATGTCTGTGGGGCAGAACATTTTGTTTACTTACGGCTACTCACGATACAGAAGGATGTAACCAGTCAATGATTTTGATGTAATTTTCCGTGTTATACTCGTCTACGACTCATGTTCGTAACCTCACACAGGTTTTCAATTCCTACCATGAAATCCTTTTACAAGCAGATCTAGACAATTATACCGAAAAATAGCTCACTCATGACTACTTGAACTACAGAGTTAAAAATAAAAAGAACAAATAAAATATCACAAAAGCATCAGATAATTGTGACTCATCATTATATTCCGTAAATCAACAACATTGCTAACATTTTGGTTCTTCTGAATTTCCTTTATTCATACGATGAATTACCCATTCGTTATCTCACTAGTGAATTATCTTCATTAACCTACATATGTGCTGCGTATGCCTAACCACCGACTGCCTCGACGAGCTTTGTTTTGTAGTGTAGGAATAGGTTGGAAGAAAGTTAGGGGAGGCCAAATCTAAACATGGCATAAATCCATGAAGTCATTGATTAGTGGACTGAGCCATGTCGGTAGTTGTCGACTACCTGGTTGGGGTCCGCGAGATGACAATAATCGATGGTTAGATACCCTGAATGACATGGCTCAAAACCGTTTGCAATGGCGCCGGTGCATTTACTCTTTGTGTTCTCTAAAATCCTAATCTTCTGGATTCTTCAACACCTCTAGTTTTGACTCTCTAAACTTATCTCACTGAATCATACTTCTTGAATAATATCTTCTAATCCTAACCTCTCCAATTATTTCTAATTCCCTTACTACCTCTTCTACTATTGGATTTGAATTGACGATTACTTCTCTGTGCTGATGTGGTATGGCAACCTGAACAGATGTACTCACGTACAAAGTTCTACGTTGCATCTGTCTGACATAAGTGCATGTGTACAGTTAGTGTTCTAAGTTTAAAAAGTATCTGCTGGGTCATTGTTCATTTTTAAACAATAATTTTTTCTGTTCTGTACCTCGTATAGAAAAATTCACTTCAGTGAACTTTGCTTTTGGAGACAGTATGAAGAAAATACGCGCCTTGTTCAGTCCAAATGCAAAATATAAATTCTGGGTAAGAACGGTTCTATTATTGATCAGAAAAGGAATACAGACAATTACCTAAACAATATAATACTGTCCCGATGCAAAATTAACACAATAAGTTTCCGATTCTGGAAGAATGAGTCCTTCTAGTCAAGAATACGAAGTTACCGCAAAAGTATCAAATCCGATATGGCCGTAGCCACATTAAGTACCAATTTAATAAACTTACAGTTCAGAAGGAAACATATAAACTCAAGTACAGGAAATAGGAAATATAACAAAATACAAATATTAGTATCCCAAATCGGGACTAACATAGTACCATAATACTGAACAGAAAGAGTTAGCAAGATCATAACACAAATATATACATGGAGGGATTTTCCCGAAAACGAAGCCTTCAAAATGGATTCTACACCTCGCCCAGTTCTCTTTATTGCTGTTTTAAGCCCCTCATTCTAATCCTTATGTATTAGTCTGCTTATTTACTGGAGACTTGGCTACTTTACCCAGGAGCCTGTAAATTTTTGACTAACAATTTGGTTCTTCTGGATCGCCTCTATTCATACAATTGATTGCCGTTCCTTATTTTACTTGTGAGTGATCGTCATTGACCTACATAGGTGCAGGTGTACAGTTAGTGTTCTAATATAAAAAATGTCTGAGTAAACATACGTTTGTTTTATCAAAACAATACCTGCTGAGTCATTGTTCGGCTTTAAACAAAAATAAATCTATTCTGCTCCTCGCTAAATTCTCTTTATTTCTCTTTCTTCAGCACCTTATCCCGATCCTTAAATCTTAGTCTGGATATTTGCCCGAAGGGTTGGCTGATTTACCCAGGAGCCTGTGAATTTATTACCATATCTTAGCTCATTTACCTCATCAATTCTTGTTATATGCAGGCCTGGCTCTATCTTGCATTGTTTCTCAGTCATTACCAGTTAGTCGTATTGTAACCGTTACAACTCACGCCAATCATTCATATTGTACATTGCAGAGTCTGGAAAATTGTCTATAAATTTGTGTGAAAAATTTTAGCTATCTATATGAAGTCAATGTATCTTGTGAAATATTTCAGTTACTGAAAAACGTTTTACAAAAAGATGTTAGCAATCTCGACATTTTGATGTTACCTGTGAATTGGCATGCCTCTTGTAACATGTTATTTGAGAATAAATTATTATTATTATTATTAATAATATTATTATTATTATAGTTTGGAACGGGCCAGAAAAAACACTGCACAGCTCCATCTCGGTAAAACTGATTGAAAGTCTTCATAACATAGATGAAACCGAACCATTTCGGGTTATTTGTCTAGTCCTAACGGGGCTCAATCCCGTCTCCTAAATATTGCAAAAGAAGAAAGCATAAAAGCTAGAAATTTACGAAGAGTTTGGGACATAAACTTCCTTCAACCTTAGATTTCCTTTAAAATGTTCTTTTAGTTATCGTTATTTAATTAGCTGGAATTATTTCAGACATACACTGAATCAATCTGTTGTGCTGTGAAAGTTCAAGAATTAATTTATTGTTACCTCGTATTAGATTTGAATTTGTAAAAGCTCAGGTTAGGTTATAACCTAGCCAAAAACATCATTTAGTATCAAAACATAATACCTGAAGTGGGTATTCACTTCGTTATTTAATTCATGAATTATATTTCGTATTACCTCATTTCTAATGTTGTAAGGCTTGTTTTTTGTTGTTGATAACTTGCTGTTCTGACAAACAAGACCTCAGAAAAGAGTCACTACAGACATGGTGCGGACTTTTGATACATATATAATGTAAAATCTTAGCTTCCAAGGATTCTGCCTCCAATTTGTATTTAAGTAACCCAGGAGAGTTTTAAAATTGCATTAGAAGATTTACTACTTTGCTTATAAAGCATGGTACGTTTTCGCCTCCTGGGACAACATACTATGGAAAGCGAATCTCATATGAACAAGTCTTCTCAGTCTGGATCTGAAGTCAATACCTCGTCGTATTGCTATATGTAATATCTTAATGCTAAATGCCAAAGCACCTACACAAGCATGTAGTGGTATACTTTTACGAAGAAAACACAGTTGCTGAAATATTATTTTGATAACACGAGGCTAGCAATAAATATACTTCCTCCCCTAGAATCGCCTTTTTATTTGATTCTTAGAGTATCGGGATTAACATTTGTTATGCCGCGAAATAGTACATTTGCTATAAGCCTTTAACAAATTGGTTACTTTACGTAAGTCTAAATCCTAGTCGCATTGTCGATTATTTTTACCGTTGTTTACCATGCGGTATTCACATACTGTTATTTCTCACGATAACTGGCTGTTGAAGCAGTCATCGGTTTGTTCATCTATCACTACCAATTTATCAGTAAATTCGTACAATAAAATCGCTATCGCGTTTTCGAACATTTACATTTCACTATTTTCAGGTAGTCTGCTAAACATAGGTATGATTAGAATCTGACACGAACAGAAAAGTGTCAACGATACTGACTAACCTTCTGCTCTAAACTAACCCTACGACCGTAAAATGTCAACAAACTTATCGCACTGCTACTATGTCATCAATACTCTTACTATAAACTTCATAAAGCTTATTTGAGGAATGATCAATTACCTGTCATTACTATCTGTTCTGATATGACTCATTAGAACTATTTATTAATTATATTATCCTTCACCTAAGGGTCGCACGTCTTATTATTGTCAGCCCACGATTTATATTAGTAGAAAATAAATATTCAGTAAGCGTGAAATGCAGAGGTATTACTGCCTTATGAACAGATTATTACGTACAGTTCATATTATTTTCTGTACTGATTCATTCTATCGTGATAGTAACGTTTGTCACAACCTTCGTAGCACATTTAATCTGGTGATAGAATAATATATTTGGAATGAAAAGAAAAAGATCATGTAGAGCGACCACTTCTGTGTAGCTGGGCCACACCGTCTTCAATAGTTGTTCCAAGCTTTCACAATTTCTGACCTCCTCCAAGTACTAAACTATGAATTTAAGTCTTCTGACTTCTGGTGTGTCCAGCCTCAGATGTCGTGCAGTTAGGAGCTAATGCTACAACAGTCTTACAACGTTTTCCGAACTGAGGAAGAATGATTATTCGGCAAATGATTTTGCTGTTATGTACACGGTAATTTACAACTATTTGTTTAAACGTTGCGACCTGTACCTTTTGGCGGCTCAATTTTTAGCCGACGGAATTTTGTCTGCCGTCATCTCCGTCCTTCGGCTTTTTATAACTGAACTGGTTCGTTAGTGTTGTCCTTAATTCAAATACTACCAGTTTTCTACTGTTCTTGAAGTAATTCTCAGTATTTGGGGATGGCAAAAAGTAGTTCTTATAAGCTGGTGATACTGGGAGAATCAGCTGTTGGAAAATCGAGCATAGTCCTGAGGCTCGTTAAATGTCAGTTTAGCGAGTACCAGGAAGCCACTATTGGAGGTTGGTCTTTAATACTTGTTTTTATCAGTTAGCTGCCTACGTGACTCAGACGATTTGCCTGAATGATCCACCAACAACTGTAAAGTTTGAGATTTGGGATACTGCAGGTTAGTTGTATTTTTCAACTTATTAGCGACAAATCAAAATAGCAAATTGATTACTGAGGAGTTCTGACAGGCTTCAGCTTCTTATTAGCATGTTACGTTTGTGAATTTAAATAGTTTGCTGCGAATATGTAACTAGACTTATTAGTCATTTTCTGGTTTACTTCCTCGTGTTCAGAACTTCTGTTAGGTAAATAAGCATAATCAGAAATTTTAATGAAGTTTGAGGAAGTTGCTGTCAACATAGAAATGTTTGCTCAGCATATGAGATTATTTCTTGGCTTTCGAACATGAGCTTTTGTAGCTGTACATTGTCGTCTCAGGATCACTATGCTGCTGCCACGTAATGTATTACTATTGCTTAGTGTCTTCATATAAAAAGTAGCCTTCGTATAAAGTACTATGCAGCTGTCAAAGAACAGTAAAGATGTAAGAGGTAATATGGTGAAGGAATTATTCAAATAATATACTATACCCGGTAAACATGAAGTCCAATATCTGCATGTTAACGTCTCTATTATAAACCACTTCTATCTGTATCTTGCTGGTAGATTTCGTTCCCTGTGCCAGACAAGGATTTCTGTGTACTAAAGCGAGCTATCGTAGATCAACACAAGATACGATAATCTTATCTTAAGTCTCTTATTTTAGGGGAATAATGAGGCAAATATTGTTAAGATGCTTTCTTGGTCTGCCATCATTTGCTGCACAGAAATTAAGAGCGCCATATTATGAGAACGTCTACCTTGTAAGGAAATATTTGGTAGAAGTGAGGTACTAGACCACTCTTGTCATCTAACATCAGTTATAGGCGCCGTACCACACTTTCAACGCTCATTTTCTTGCGGTAAGTTTAACCATGCAACAGTGACCGATCAAAACTAATCTCCCAATCAACAGGTCCTAGATTCAAACACCGCCTCATCTACTTCCGTCAGGACAAACGGGTAGTATCACTCGCTATCACCCAAAGTTTAGTTAAAAACATGGCTAATTAGCCTATGCTTACTAAATACAGCTGTACGGAATCGCATTGGGTTGTACTCTGAGTTCATTAGCTGAGTGGCCTAATTTGACTAGGTTTTGGACCTGTGACCTTATACATACTAGATAGTTGGGTAAATAATCAAGTGTCTACACATTCATGTCCAATTAACTAATTTTCTGTATCGGATGTTGTAATCTATTATTTGCTTCAAATTTAGGACAAGAACGCTACCATAGTTTAGCCCCTATGTACTACCGAGGTTCGCAGGCAGCAGTTGTTGTCTACGATATAACAAATCAAAACTCATATGAACGCGCAAAAACTTGGGTTAATGAACTCCGAGAAAGAGCCAATACTGCCGAGGTCATCGCACTCGCAGGAAACAAAGTGGATCTCGAGGGACAGCGAGCTGTTCCATTCGAGGTAATGTGTTTAGACCCTCCCAACTTCCATAAGCTTTTTTCACCAACTTTTTACCTTAATTATCTAATCACTACTTTCCAAAATTAATCCATACGACTATTCATTTATTTAGTTTTTCACCAATCCAAACACAAAAATTTATTGAGTTTCAGTAATAGTTCATACTTTCCTTCCCTTAATTAATTCTAAACGATATTGTTTATTTAGTCATGCAATTTATTTACTTATTTATTCGTGCAATTAGTACTATTCTGCTTCTTTGCTAGTCGTGTTGTTAGTTACATGTCAGTGTGCTGCGACACGGTCGATATAAATTTCCCATGCTTAGTTTAGCTCGATATCCCCCCACTATGCTCTTCATTTTGCTAACTCCCTTTCACTGCTGGTATAGCGCATTGTGGTTTAGGTCATTTCAATTGTTTTTTACATTCAGAGGATAGTTCCTAGTAGTTTGTTGTTAAATCCTACACTCAGTCAAAATCGTACAGGATCTCAATTTATAAAACTAGGTGCCACTCAGGCTAACAAATTGACTACTAGTATATCACACCAGTAAGTACATTTGTATTTCGATTCGTCAGCACCTCTACCTTTGTCTTTCTAACCTTATCTCACTGAATTATACTTCTTGAATAATATCTTCGAACCCTAGTCTTCTTCATTACCATTAATACCTCTACTATGTTTATCACTATGGGATTTGATTTGACATAAGTCTGCGCCTAAGTTGACTTCGTTCTTCATCATGTTCAGAGCCAGGTGGGATGAGTTTTCGGGCATCCATCAGATCGGTGGATGCTACTGAGATCCACGGCTTCATTCTAGCCTTATAGTCAACCTTACTAGCAGATATCACTGCTGTTTCCACAGCCTTTTTGATATCATTCCAACCTGCCTCCGGATGAAAATCGCTTAAATGGTCGCCTAACTGTCTTTCTAGTTGCTCCTGAAATATTTTCTTAGCTTGATTATCATCAAGTAAAGCCCTAAGAGGCTTTTTTACGGTGTCTTTCCTACGTCCAGCAAGCTTCAAACAAATACGTGCTCGCACTAGGGCATGATCTGAATCTAAACATGTGCCCCAGAACGAGTGACAGTCTTCTATCGAACCCCTCCATCGGTGGCTGATGGAGATGTGATCTAGTTGCGTCCAACGTTGAGACGACTTTGGAGGTCGCCAGGTCAACAGATGCTTTTCCTTATGCCTAAAGTTAGTGTTTGCTAAGAATAGGCGGTTGTCTGAGCATGCTTGCAACAGACGGTCACCATTGTCTGTTCTCTGAGCTGCGACACCATAACATCCACCTAGGTGTCTTTCATTTCCACTCAGTCTACCTACTTGTGCATTAAAGTCACCAGCCATTAATACTATATCAGAGCGCTTAACTTTTTGGAGGAGGTCCGAAAGCTTTCTGTAAAACTCATCTTTCACCTCGTCTGAACTGCAGTCAGTGGGGGCATAGGCAGATACGACGAAGAGGCAACGGTGAGTGTCCCTATCTTTCCGAGTCCTTACTGTCCCGTTTAGTCGGACAGCGCACAATCGACTATCTATTGGGATCCAGTCAAGGAGAGATTGTTCTGCCCTACGACTCAACGCTATGCCTACGCCAGCAAGACCCCTGGAAGCAGCATCAGGGCTGCCGGATACACGAAGAGTAAATCGAGCTGCTTCTTTATTTTGTCAAGGTGAAATCAGGTTAATGACTTTACTAGGATCCTGTATGCGCGTTTCCGAGACGCAGCATACATCGATGGCACGAGATTCTAAAGTCCTAGATAATGATGGTATTCTAAATTCTTCCATAGAATTTAGAATACCATAAATTCATAATCCAAAAATTTAAACGTATATCTTTCGATTTACATATAACAGTTGTTGGAGCTATCTACTGTCAACTTTAACATGCCTCAACTATTATGTCATCAAGTATACACATCAATATTATATTTATTTTTGCTTGAATCTCCTGATTGGACTAACTTTACAGGGACTGTCTAACAATTATTCTCAGGAGGTATATTCCAAAGGGTTTTCTAGAGTTTTTTTAAATTAATTAGCAGTATATGCTTCTACGGAGTCCTGATTTTGTTTAGTATTCTGCATATTCAAATTTTTCAGTTTTTTGTTTTTTCTTAGGAAGCACAAGAATATGCCAATAAGAATGGTTTACTTTTTATGGAAACGTCAGCTAAGATCGCAACCAATGTCACGGAATTGTTCGCTGCCATAGGTACATCTTATTGTTTTACTTGAAGATGTTTTACATGGGTTTAACTTAGCATTTACAGTAGCATAATTTGCTTAAGTTTAATGTAAAAATAAGATGACTAAGGTATATTTTTCCCCCTTAGGGTTTCATAATTCCTTTAGTTCTTCAACTTCATCCCGTTTGACTCTAAAGACGATGGGAAGCGGAGGCAGCTTAAACACAGTCTGCAATGATCGTGAACACTGGCGGGTAGCGAAAGCAAGAGAGATGGAAAAAGGCAGCGGCGATAGTTAACAGTTGACAACTCCAGACTTATGAAGGAAACTGAAATTAGACATCTGACTGCTGGTGAAACTATCTCGGAAAAAGATAAAACTATTCTTCATTCTCAACCAACCGAATTGTATTGATTGGAGGAACATCAAGATTGACTGAAATCTTAGCTAGAATCTGGGGAATGGACGTAATCCTATCTGACTAGTCTCAGTTTGTAAGAGGGGACGAAATTTTTTTTCACAGAGGAATCAGTTTAACTAATAAAATGTCCAAAATATCAGCTTCAATTCAATAATGCTTCAACGTCTAACAGGAGTTCGATAAGATCAGGTTGATTTCAGACCTGGGCGTGGATATTTAGACCAGATATTCACACTACGTCAGGTCCTAGAACAAAGACACGTTCAGACGTCCCACAATAGTAGTATTTCTCGACCTTAAAATGACATTCGACTCTCTTGATCGTGAGGTTATCTGTCATTGAAAGGTTTACCAGAGAAATACATTAACCTTATATAAGCTTTCTCTCGAACATTACTGGTCGAGTTAGAGCTTATAGCGAACTGTCATCAAAATTGATTACTTCAAGTGTTGTTTGTCAGGGATGTTTACTTTGCCAATTCTTGTCTAATTTTGTCACAGACATGCTTCTAGACATAACTTTATCTTCGTCTGACTTTCCAGGAGTGCGGACTTTCTACTATTAGACTCGCTTGTTAACTTAGAATGTGCCAACGACATAGTTCTACTTGATGAAGACGCTGACAAAATGCAGTCTTCTGACCAGCCTAAGCAACGATGCAGTCATGTTCGGTATGCGATTGTACTCGAATTGCAAAAGGTGTATGGATCATATGTATGCAATTTATCTTCTTTTTTTTTAAAATTGCTTCTGGTCTTTGGTTTATTTTAGGTACGCGATTACTTGAACGTACGGAGCCTTCTAGACCTTCTGGGGGACCACAACTTTCGCAAAATAACTCACCTACAGAACCAAAACAGTGTTGTAGATAGTCTTGATTTGATCACTTGTTATTTCACAACGTGCGTATATCGCATACTTCTTTAATCCCCCAGTCTTCTATGTCATTATTTTGCGTGTTCAGTTTGCTCCCACTAATGATTTTGCTTTGTAGTCATACTGATTGCAGTCTAATGTACACAGGTCGCTGTAAGTTCTGTTAAAGAATTTAGATGACCTTCAGATCTGGAATCAAAATATCACGTGCTACATTATTTCCATCCAATACGCTAAACATTTCTTTACTTACATCGGATTCACACAACTATGAGTTATACGAATTTCTCATCCACATTATTGTTTAATGATTGAAGTCGTTTGTGTAACTAAAATATATTGTTTTTCTCTCTTCAATAATATATCTACAACATTCATTCCACTTGTCAACTGGTAAAATCATTCTACTATGTTTTCTTCAAATGTTTGATCATTGAATCATTTAATTATACTCTCCACGCTCTCCGCATATTTATACATATATATACAGACACTGAACTTGAATTATTTCTAGGATTCAGTTTTGAACAGAAATATGCTGAAAGCTACTTTGATCTTATAATTTCATGATTTTTTTCCTATCTTTTCTATGCGCAATCCTCTGTAAAATAATATTATGTTGCCCATTTCTATGAATTACTTTTGATTTTAACAAGTTAATACGTTTGCTAACATATATGCTTTCCAGTTTAATTTGAAAAAAAGGTAGGATAGTTAATTCATTTGATCGTCGGTGTGTTGCGTAAAATAGATCGGAAATATGATGGGCAGATTTCTTTCGAGCAGGTTATAATTTGTTCTCAAAAAGCATTTCATTCTATATCCAGTGTTTTTTATGATTTGCTGGTTTTTTTAGCTAGTAAATCATTTCAGGTTTTTAAACTTAGCGACTCGAGGAAAGTTACCAAGGGCTATATTACAATGAAACTGAAAGTCGGAGATGTGATTAGAGTAATACGTTTCATTTGACTGTTAAAAGTCGATTTGAATTCAGTCAAAATATGATATTAAATATCTGGTTTTCACCAAACACTACGTTTCTAGTCGACTATACGATCAAAGTCGTCAACCAACGACTTTATACGTTATTTGCATTTCGGTTATCCTCTAAAGTTTTTATATTTCTACTACAAAGATAGTATCACCCGTCGAAATAATATTCTGAGTCGGCGTATATTTACTTGTTCATATTTACCCTGGAGACAGTTTACGTTTCATGTGTACGTCAGTTCATTTTAATCTTGTGATCCAACAGAGCCCCAGTTACTTCAACAAAACAGATTTTAATCTGGTGGTATTCGTCACCGACTGATCTTATTTCATATACTAGAGAGCATTGGACAGCTTTTTCGTCCTGTTGTTAACTATTCCTATTAGTATTCAGTATCCTTCCTGTAAACGATTTAGTTTTCCAAATGATTGTCGTGTTGTTTGGTCCGATTTGGTTATTCGTTCTTCTTTCCTAAACGCTTACTTAAGAAGTCAAAGAATGCTTGGTTAATCAAAGGATTATGTGTACGAGTAATGTATGCTTTAAAAATACGAAAGTGGTCCAGAAAGGAATATGTTTTTTTGGGTGGTAATCTTGGCTGTCAACCCTCACTTGTACGTTTCATCTGCCATGTGGCTTTAGGTTAGTGTGCTATCCCTCCAGGATATCAACATGACTTTTCGTCACTAAATGAGAGTGAATTTGTCAGTTGTTCTATCATTCAAACAGTTTCAGAAAGCATCGGTTAAATGGGACGTCAAATGAACAATAAGGGGGATTTGATTCTGACTAGTTTGGTCTCGTGTGCCTTCACTAGTATGAGGGTGTCACTTCCAGGCTGCCCACACCGTGGAAGGGTACTTCTTGAGGCACCTGATGAAGGACTTGGGTTAGTGTTGGTCTTAGAGACCTGAGAGCGTGACTGCAAAACCCAAGGGACAACTGCTTGAGACCGGTCGCGCGCTGACTTTCTACAGCAAGTTGGTGTGTTAGCTCCGCTCTTAAAATGTACTTACCACCGGAGACGGATATCCGTGAGGTAAGGTGGCGTGTGACGTTTTTAGGGTTGACCTTTCGTCGCTGCAGATGCTGGTTGTCCGAGGGAAACACCTTACTGTTGTCATAAGTGTCTACGGTCAGCAGTACGACTTCGCCCTCAGACCTTGAGTTGCTGCTTTTGATCCGTTCTCCAATCGACCTGACTAGAATGAC